AAGGTAAGTGGTAAGGTGATAGGTAACAATTATTTTAGTTAGAGACTGGACAGTTTTCGTGACTAATTTGACAAGTTACTCTTTTCATAGCACTGCAGCTCACGACGACGTAAACAGCTACAACAATCAAACCGTTTTTATCTGTATGCTTTTATTCTAAGAGAAAGTTCTCATCCCATCTCCCTCCGTGAATTCTTCGTTTATCATCTTTCCTTTCTTATGTTTTTCCTTGAATTGACCAGCGTTCACTAATTTAAAAAAAAGTGAGGGCTGGTCCGTGCGATCGTTGGTTTCTAATTCATCTTAACTACCGGCTCTATACTTGGCAGACATGGTCCCATAAGTTAAGAGTAATTATACTTAAAAATGCATAAATTTCTCTCTTCCTCTCTCCGCTTGACTGGTGATACCATAGTTTCCCTGATTACATGATCGACATGTAGATGCTTGTTTTTGTTTTTGTTTTCTTTTTTTGGCGTTCTCAATAAATTTTCCTTTGGCCACACGCAAACTTTGGCTCTCGATTTGGCTGCTTTTACCTTACTCGTAGAGACATCTGTTAAGCCTTTTCGGTTTTTAATCTTTTATTTCATTTTAGCCGAGGCAATATTCCACTGGGTATCTTAACGTAATAGTTTTCAAAAAATTTGTTTTAAACGCTCTTTCAAGTTGTTCTGTTATTCTCTTGTTTTTGGCAGACCTACTGACAGTTTAGACGGTTATGCATATTATACACTCTCTTTTATAAGAATATATTGCAAAGGAATATCGAGGCTGAAATTTGCGATATTTTAAGAATAATCCCCAGGCTGAGATTTTGAAAAGGATATAATTTTGTGTGTTGAAAACCTGTAAATACAGTACAATTATATATTTTTGAATTTTCACTCCTTTCTCTAAACGTACGGCAAAACTAGCCAACAAAACGAAAAAACCTGCACTAACTATTATTGATACCGGCAATATGATTTAAGGCGGAAATGTCATAAAGCTGTATATTTAAGAATAAATACAAGAATATTTTCAGCCTAAAATCGGCAGAAAAATAAGAATATTCAGCCTGGCCCAGAAATAACAACAGTCTTAGATAAAAAAGAGTGGACACTATACAGTTCTATCATTTCTTTGTTCTATACAGAAACAGGTGTTGTGACAGAAATTGTAAGCATTTTTGCTTTACTGAAGGCTCCTTAATTGCCCTTTTCGACATAAAATATACACATATGATGACGCGACAAAAAAACGCTAAAAAGAGAAGAATCGTTTCAACGGATTGGTCAGTTTGTCATTCCCTAATTCCGTGGGTCATTTTTATTACCAAATAGGGGTTTATTGTTTAAATTTACGACCCCGCTTGCCTCTTTAAAATGATTGACAGCCACGTAGAATACAGGTACTTATATTAGACCACGACTAATCGGAATCTATGGAAATTTTTGAAGTGGCAAGTCATGCACTGAGCCGTGAGTAAACGTGAAAACTATAGAAAGTAAGCGGACGGATAAATCATTGTCAAAACCTTTATATAATTGTCCACGTGGTTAGCCTTACAAGAAAAGTTTATGCCTGCTTTATAAAGTATCTATGAAGTTTTACGGCAACTGACAAGTGTTTTGTTAGGTAATATTTGGCCAAATATTTACTTCTACGTATATGTTCATGGCTTATAAACATGATGTGTGAAGAGAGAAAAAAACAATATTTATTCGTTTATGAAAGCAATAGTTTATTAACCTAAACAAGGTCGGAAAGGTGATTTAGCCTTGTTCGACTTAGTTTTAATATCAGTTTGTAGTAGAAAAACAGTCACTTTACTAACACTTTAGATACTAAGCAATATCATCAAGATTCATACTCCAGTGGGCCTCAACATGCATGAACATCCAAATTGCTAGCTAGATGATATGAATATATACACAAACCTAATAATAAACACAAAAACAGGAAGGGGTGTATCAAAGTCTAGAAAATTCCATTTGCGGTGTATTTCCGTTCCAAAGAAATGTTTGCGTCACGCGATGCGTCACGCATTGTTAGTAGATTCCAGATCCCAATGTTTACTTCTGAACGTAACGCTGTCAGAACAGCACACTTGTAATTGGTGATACGAGTTACTCTCTTTTCTTCAAAGGTTTGTTATTCAGAAGCCTCCACTGTAAAACAGGGAAATCATTCGATACACCATTGTCGCAATGAGCGTCATTTGTGCATGAGAAGCAAGACGTTACCGAAGTGTTGAACTCCTGTTGAACTTGTCCCATCGCGTGATCGTACATCGAAGCGAAGATCCACGACTACAATTGGACTGAAATGTTTTGCGAACGTATGTTGTTATTATCGGCTGTGCTGGGTATCTTATTCGTCTTACAGTGTCCTTCGACTTCAGGTAAGCGAGTGAAGTATTTTCATTCTCATACTGATGATATAAATTTTACATAATACTGGTTAAATGCAAGCTTTCGTATATTTTTTGAAAAATATGTCCTGACTCACGGTTTTCAACACATATTGAACTAACGAATAGATCACGTAGAATGGAGTTTTTCCGTTGTAGAGCCGCCGATCTTCGCAATATATGACTTCAATACAATAGCTAAAAAACGAAGAATTGGAAATTAATCAACAGCCTGAAACTTTAATCATGATAGCTCCTTGGCACGAAAACTGACCGGTAGGAGCCATGTTCTTGCATCCGTTTTGCCAATGTCCCATATTTTCAACACTTAACCAAAAATAAATTCAACTTTAGTTTTGACAGTCTTTATATATACATAGATAAATCCTTTCAGGCCTTGCTTTTGAGATCGGCAGGCTCCTAACTTTCTTTGAAAACAATGACCCAAGCTCTCGTATGCATAGTATTCAATAAGGCGATTAAATCATTTCTAAAGTGATGACCGGAAACGGAGAGGCTCTCGAAATTGAAAGAAAAGAATCTCTCTCGTCATTGTTGTCTCTTTTTTTGAATACGCTCGGAAAATAGCTTAGCTATATTATGATTTCACAATTGTATTTCGGTAAAACTCTTTCTCACTCTCTTTGCTACCGCGACCTTTGCGTGTACATTGACATAATATATTTTTAAAAATGTACTGTCATGTCACAAACTTACATGCTATTATTTCTGCCTTACATGGTATTACGTTGCTCCGATCGATTGCTTGAATTTTTTTGTTGGATCGGAGATTTCAAGGGATCAGGTTTTCTAGAAAGATGTCTTTACCGTAATTAACTAACAATGACTAGAGTGATCGATCGCTAATTACTGTATAATCTCTTCCCTTGAAATTCAAGAGTCTACAACGCGCGCGAGCGTTCAAGCGTGCATGCATAAATTAGTGTGATAACATTTATGGAATTGTCGGCTGTCGATTTTTAAAATTTAAAACAAATAAATAAATACACAGATAAATAACCCTAGCCAGTGGAATCTTTAGTTTCAGAATTTTCGGTTGCTTCTTGATTGTAAAAATATCAATATTTCTTTTAATATTTTATTAGTTTATACCTTCGAGTATCAGTTAAATGCGTTTGTCGCCGTTATCGATATGCACACTTAGAAAGACAATATAAGGATCCTGTGTAGTGGTCAAGATACTGAAATTTCCATACAAAATTATGACTTGCTTGGTACGAAGTTTGGTTTTAGGTCATAACGTTGATTTTGTTCTTCTCAAATCTACGTATTAAATAAATTTGCTTTAAGAATTCGTTTTGCAAAGTGCTGGACCGGAGAGGGAAAAAAATACACCTTTTGAAAGTTTCATTTACTGGTGGTCACACTTACTAAAGAAGCGGTTTTAGTCTCAAACTCAAAAGCTTGATCCACCTTGTATAACCAGTGCATCAGGCAGTCAATAAACCGTTGTGGAAAAAAAAGAACTTGTTTCTACAGTTCTTTTGACCCCACCAATCCTGCGTAAAGTCAGTCAAGTTTCACACCGCGTTCTCCTAACAGGAGTTGAAATTTACGACACCTTTCAACGTTATTCACGTTCTTTATCTGTTTTTGTTGTTGTTGTTGTTGTTTGTTTTCACGGCAGTAGCACGACGTTTGAAACAGGCCTTATTCATTCATTTATTCATTCATTTTATTTGCCATATATACAAAATTTACAACGCAAAATGGAAATAATATGAGATTAAAGAAAAAGTAAATAACGCAATAGCTCGTCAAATTGAGGCATCTTCCCTCCCCCCTTCCCCCCTGGTGCAATGTTGACGGTATGCATTCAAGTTTTAATTCAACACTATGAGTGTATCAACACTGCTTGGGGGAGATGGGAGGCAGCAGAAATAGCCCCATATAACAACATCCCCAAGCTTTTTCAAGAGGTAGAATATGAGTTAATTAAGCAAAGTGCGTCTTTGTGCCTAACTTCCTTAAGTGTCCCAAGACGTAATGACCAGGGTTGTATATTTCCTTCTTGTTTGACAACTAGAGAAAATTCGTGATCTCTATAAATCCCCCTTAAATTTCAGCAAGTCATTGAATTAAATAAAATAATTGACCAATTAATTTTTATTTAAGGAGTCCGTTGTGTTTACCCTACCAGCAGAGTCTCCTTTGATCGCAGGGTAGTCGTGGTAGCATTGAGGAAATCATTTAGTGGTTCTACTAATATCAAACCCAAACCAGTTTAATAGGTCATGGTATTTTTTATAGTCGCGTCCCACTTGCGGTTAAATAAAGAAAACACGTCGAAATTAGCTAGGGCAAATAGTACGAAAATGTCATCAAATGGCGGACAAATTGTCTAACACTTCATTTGCGGGATTGATTTCCGCAAAATTGACCGAAAGAAAATTGTTTTGTTAGAAACCCATCTACATCGCCACGGAATAATGTTTCGTTCATCAACTCTAAGCCTTCCCCCGCCCCACCCCGTCTCAAACTCTGTTTCAACTTTGAACAACATAAAAGATGCCTTAAGCTATTGATCTTACAAGCAGCAAGGTCGAGGTTTTTGTGCGAGCTTTAAATTGCCTACTTTAATTAAATACGATTTCCAGTCCAAGTGAAACTCTTTGTTCTGAATATTGTCGTCGCGTTGCTTTTAGCAGTCAACTACTACCATGTTGGGTGTTATAAAGACAAATCCGCCCGAGCTATTCCAAAGAATCTCGGTGTTTGGAGAAATGACAATAAACTTATTGAGAAGTGCGCACAGGCCGCAAAGCAGGCTGGATACTCAGCATTTGCAGTACAGTTCAAGAGTGAGTGTTGGTCAGGACCGCTGGCTCATATGACATACAGCATTTATGGAACCTCAAGCGGATGCTTAAACGGAGTCGGGGGAACCTGGGCACAAGATGTTTACTTTTTTAGTAAGTGGTGTTTCGTGACGTCACTTCCTTACGCATGCGCATTCTTCCCGTCATCTTACAAGTGCTTTTTACAGTTGGCTGCCGTACTAACAACTGTCAATGCATTCTATTCTGGTTAATACTTAATGAGAATCTCTGTAATGGAACTCGTTTCTTGTATCATTACGCCATTCTTCTCTCCTTTGCGGGGGAAGAATTTTGGGTGACAATTCAAAGAGCGGTTGGGTTTGAGGCTGTTAACAGCGTTTTAAACAAATTTTGTGCTTTTTTCGGCTGTACCTTTTTCCTTTAATTGCCAAATAATTTTAATAAAACTGATGACGTTCTCCTTCGGTGAAGTGTGTTTTTATAATGACATGTATGTAACACTTTTAGTTAATTATATGTGCCATCTTTTTTCGTAAATTTTTCTACTTCCTACTCTTCTTCCGACGCTTCCTTATAAACCATGATTTTTTTTTGCACGCCATTTTTCCTTCAAAATATTTCTCCGTTTCTGATTGGCTCAAATCTACGGGCCAATTCTTCATAAGTAGCTGGCGTTTACCAAATTTGGAAGACGTTCGCGACATGAAGTAAAATTGCGCCAATTGTACAGGATATCGCTAGACAGCAACTAAGAAGCCCTAGAGACGAGATTGCGTTCGTTCAGCCGTTTCTCTAGAGCTGGAGAAAATGGCGGAAACTTTCACACGTTTTGCGAAGAAGAAATAGCTGAAATACTGCCTAAAAAGAGCAAGAAGAGCAAAAATACAGCTCGACGGTTGACAACCGCAGTGCCATTTGAACCACATCTGCTATACTAAACATTCCTAGACATAATTATCTAAAATTTACCAATCAAGTAACAGGCAAATGAAGATAGGAGCTTAGCATCGGTCGAGGTAAGGTTATTTAAAAGTATGAATTATTTTGAATGAATGATAAAACAATTATTGGATTCGGCCGAGGCTGAGACGGATAACACCCTCCGATATATGCGTAATTCTTCAGATTTTACTGAGCTTCATTTAATAATAGCTAATTAACGGATTGCCTGCAATTACACAATAGCATCTTCATTTCCACGCGCGTCACGTCTTCTCGCTGGAGGAGAGAACAGTTAGGACAAGAGCCACGAGGTTGAACAGTAAGAAACCACTATTTTAAACTTTATCTCCTTCACAGCTGCTCAGGCCGGAGTCACCCAGTGCTCCCGCGGCATAGCATGACTCCGGCCCGAGCGGTTGCGAAGGAGAGTAAGTTTAGAATAGTGGTTTCTTGCTGTTCAACCTCGTGCCCAGATGATGCTATGTAGCACTATTTGATGAAGAAACCTTTGGTTTTCTTTCAGATTCTACTCAAGTTGGAAACTATCACGTAAGAAGATGTTACACATTCAATGTAATTTTTCACTATAGAATTCCTGGTGGACTTACTAGCGACACTATTGCACAAAAGAAAACTTCAATCGCTGACATAGTCTCCTCAGTGTTTCCCAGTCTCAAAAATCTACTATTAGAATGTAATAAAGTGAACATTACCATTGAAAACATCGTAGCATCGCCTCCAGGAGTTAACAGTGTATTCTTCAGAATACCTGTTGTACTTACAGCATCAGATAGTGTAGCCGACAGTGGAGTGTCCTCTACGCTTATAAGCTGTCTAGACAAGTTAAGGGAGTATAAAGCACTTTTAGATCAACGTATACCGACTATCACTAAAGGAGGGTCTACGTATTCAAACTACAATGGTTCTACAATGACAGACAAGAAGTCATGCTGTGGTGGAAATATACCGCCACCTTGCTGTGCCGCGGGCTCAGTCAAGGTGTCGAGCACCAAATGCGGTAAGCAATGAAGCAATGTAGAAATCTCTTTCGCTTATTTATGTCTTGCGATCTTCTCCTTTCGGCCACGGCCGTTAAACCTCAGTCACACATACAGTTATGATCATCGTCAAAATTGTTAGGAAGGCTACTAGTTTGTCGCTCTTTTTCCTTCTTTTCCCGTTCCTGGGCCAATGTTGAACAAGTGTTTGTGCGCGAAACTGTTCTGTTATAAACCAAGAACATTAGAGAGCTTAAGCAACGACAACGGTGACGGTCAGGAGAAGGAGAAAAAGCAATAGGTTTAATAAGCAAAACAACAACTTTGCACGTGCATCACGCTTTGCACGGCTACGACGTGAAACTGCCTAATTTGACGTTCTGTGGAGGGTGTGAACGCAAGACAACGAACCTCTTTTTCTTTTCCTGAACTTTGATACAGTCTGTTAGAATTCAACTCCAGAAAAAATGGCCAAATTTGACGAATTGAACAAGATGGAAAAAGCGCGTGAAAGTTTGAAGCGGAGCGAACATACTTTTTAAGTGACGTTTTCGTAGCCGTGGCCGTCATTGTTAGTGCTTAAGCTCCCTATTAAAAACGGGGGACGGGGGATGCATTTAGCAAAGGGGCAACCATCTTCTTTTAACATTACAATGAACTGCCGTTAAGTTGTACAACCTTCCTGACTACTTTTGTCCAGGATTGTACCTCAGTTCACAAGAATCGCTTTACAACGTGCGCTGTATTTGTTAATTTTGTCCACATTTTCCACAGCCTGCTTGCCTGGATTCTATTACGTTCCCAGCAGTCTGTGCGTTCGTTGCCCTGTCGACACTTATCAAGAAAATCAGGGAAAACAGAAGTGTCAGAAATGCCCTCAAAAGAAACAGACGTTTGGAAAGACGGCATTGACAAGCAAGACGAATTGCTCAGGTATGACGAAAAAAAAAAGGTTGACCCAGCTATCTTCTAAAATTTCAAGATTCCGTACAACACCTAGCCTGCGAACGCAGACGTATTTCCGGTCGTCGCTTCCCTCCACCCGATGGAAGCGACGACCGGAAATACGTCTGCGTTGGCAGCAAGAGTGGTTCGCAGGCTATACAACACCAGTTACGGCTTGATAAATGCAATTTAGAAAGGTCAAGGGTAGCTTGTGAATAATGCCGTCCCCCCTCCTCACCACTACGAACGTCCCTCAAGGCCTGTATATATGATGTGACCGAGCCTGGTTAGCAGGACTGTCCGCTTTACCGGGTTGGCTCGACTCAGGTCTTGTTTCCTTTTAAAATTTTAATTGTGTTTATATGAGAAGGTTGGCTGGCCCGGTTTGCCAAGATCCCGGTTGCTCGAGCCGAGATCTCAGCAAGCAAGCCACCCAGACTTTTCAGGGAATCTGTGGACAAACTCCTGTTGTGTTATCATTGAAATAAGAACTCTAGGGCAAAAATTTTACATCGTGTTAGTCATATCTTTGGATTTCAGAAAAAAATATTTTTATCGTTATTATTATTTTTTTAATTTTTACTCTGACCACCATTAGGAGTGAAAGGTTTGATGGTGTTCGGCTGGGACAACTGACCCTCTTCCTGTTTTCAAATGTGGTAGTTGCTTTACCTTACATTGCTACAGCCATTCCTTTAATTTTTCTTCCTTTTCTCTTAGATACAAACCCTCTTCAGCTTGGCATATATCGCTACCCTTCCCTGCCTTATAACATCAAGGCAGGTACTGTGATTGGAAATGTTACTGTCACAGGAAAGCTTGCTTCACTGGTGAAGCCTTTCCTGTATTACCTTGACTCCGTCACGCAACGACAGCAGCAGCCTCGGCCGACGCAGTCACGCACTCTTCTAAAGCGTCGACGGCGTGATAAGGTTAATGGCCTTGATGACGTTTGTGAAGAGGCAGGGACAGTCACACCTCTGAATTATTTCTGTATTCACCGACTGACTGGAAAGATAGAGGTCACGGAAGACTTCGCTTTCGTCGATGGAGAGGAATTTGAATTGAAAGTTCGTGTGACAGATTGCGACCCTTCGGGAAAAACTGAAAATGAAGCCGTCTTTCAATTAATTTCTTACGACAGTTGTAATAAAATTCGAAAGTTTTATGACGAATCTGTGAAGTTTTGTAGCAATGTGTCATCAGCTTTGGTGTGCCCGAGTGTAAACTGCTTAGTACCTCTGTTTAACTGGCGGATGGCACTGAACACGTCAAGCGAAAGGCTGAGATCGGAGTGCTCTTCTGATCCAAAAAATATGGAAAGCATTAAACAACGATACTCCAGCTGTATTGGTAAGTCTTATACCTAGATTTCCTCTTTCCTTGAGTCATGCGGAGAACTGGGCACGAGATAAGGAGGTCACGTGTCATAGTTGAATGCAGTTCTCGCTCTAGCCAATCTTGGTCTTCCAGTCAGTAAGGGCTTCTTTCTCAGAACTTGACATGACTACGGGAATCTCGTCAAGTTCTGTTGGGACAATTTAGTTTGTTAAAAAACAATTAGTAAAACAGTGAGGAAGTCCTACTCTAAGTCTAGGGCATGGCGTGATGATAATAGTTTTACTATAGTTCTCTCTCAGACGATCATACTCGATAGTGTGACCTTTATACCTTCCTCAGAGAGCTACCATTCAATAGGTTATGAAACTAAACCTGGCTACATCCTTTTCTTTGGTGGCGCTTACGGACAAAACACTTCCCAGAATCAGCCAAAACACCCCCCAGAATCCTAATTCTGGACGTTTTTTTGATTCTGGGACGTGTTTAGTCCCTACGAATCACCGTACTTTTCGACGAAGACATCATTTGTTTTCACTAGTTTTGCCCAAACGACAGGCTTGTCAATGAATCTCTTCTCGTATCACCTTGCGTGTAAGATGTCTCATTGACTCATTGATATTGTAGTATCTTCTAACAAAACTGTGATCGTAGAATTCTCTAAGACCCTCTAAGTACGCAACTTTCGTTGTTTAACGTTTTGTAATGAAAACAGCTTGTTTCTCTTTACAGGGCCTCCAGAAGTTAAACTGAGTCCAGTCTCTCAGAGTTTCGCAAAAGGCGAGGTCGCTGTGCTGTCGTGTAATGCCAGTAGTGCGCTGCCCATGACGATCACGTGGTTTAAGAACGAGCAACAAATAGATTTTGGGAGCCAGTTGCAGATACGCGACTTTGAAAATGATGACCAAGGCGACTATTATTGCAAGTTCTCGACAGCTCTGACGAGTATTTACTCTAAACCAGCTTTACTTGTTTCGAAAGGTAATGATTAGCACTGACAATACCAGAAAACAATGAATTACTTATGCGCGATCCCGCAAGATAACACTGACGCGCTATCGTTGGAAATATGAGTGCAAACAGTTAAAAACGTCGTCCTGTGTGAAAGATGTAAAACCTGTTTCTAAGGGTCCACCCACACCAATGATCCGCTTTGGTTCAGTTTTGCATCAATACATCCTGGTCTTGCGTATGCGCTGGTCCTTAGAATTGGATAAGTAAAGGAGACTTTTGAACTTGAATTGTTGTAGATGATGATTGCATAACTCTATTCAGTTCACAAATGCTTAAATAAGCATGAACCTTTAAAGAAAACGTATGAGCAAGATGAGTAAAAACGATACAAAATCGCTAGTGCGGTTGCGTAAAAAGTTAAAGGGCGAGGCTTGTATCGGAGTCGTCATGGTAACGGTACAGGTTTACTTGTGATCAACCGAACACAATCATTTGAACGCAAACGAACGCCCCAATTTTAATGTGGTTTCGAAATGGGTGGTTGTATCTGTCTTTTTTATAGAAGCACAGTTAGAGATGTAGTACCTTTGTACTCTATTTATGGGAGAAAAAATAAAATTCGAACAATTTACTTTCAATTTCAGATGTCATAACTTCAATCGTGTCGTTTAGAATTCCCAATCAAAAGCACGCAGATGACTTGTCGGATCCAAGCAGCTCAAGGTACTCGGATATGCAAGTCAATATACAGAGAAATGTAAGTAAATTTAAAATTGCAGTCCTGCTTAAAGGAACAGTGTCCCGTTACTGCGCATGCACCAAACTTTGATTTTTGGACAGGATGTCGCGAAATCAAAAGATGCGAGGAGAGTAAGATAATCTTGAAAAATCCGTTTGCATCGCGCTTGGTCGGGTTCAATACGACACTAAAACTTCTCAGGATTATAGATCAATGATATATTGTTCCTGTTAAGTTTCGATTTGGGCAAAATCTGGATTTTTTGGCGTTACTTTCATTGCCGTTTGCCGGAGGACCAAAAGATTGGAAGCACTTTGATGCCGATTGAAGGCTTATTTCTTCTGCTAGCTTCCATACAAGCTCAGATAATTGTGAAAGGAATACGCAGAAATGAAACAGCAACAATAAAGACTGTAAGAAAGAAACCGTTGAGACATTGATGTGACTGAGGAGATCTTGTGGAGGGGAGCTTCGTGAAGCAGAATGTTTTGCTACGACGCGTCAGTAAACTTTTAAATGAATCTCCGTACGGCCGACAAAATCGACCAAACAGGCGCTACACGTTTTGAAAAACTGGTGACATGAATCCTAATATCGTTCTTGACTAACCTTTGTGATGATTCATAGCGTTGAGATTGCATTTTTATTTATGTCTTTCAAACGTTTGAGGCTAGAACGCGAGCAAATCAGGCAGATATTACTGGACTTGGAGCGATTGACCTCTGACACGAGTTTCAAATTAGAAAATATGTTTTTAAAGCGAGCGGAACGAGATTTTCGGGTCGCGAGGCGGCCCAGCTAGCGATAAAATCGCGATGAGTCTTCGAACCCTGAGCCAAATTTTTATATAAGACGAAAGACGTCTTCGAAAGTCTAAAATATTACTTGAGAATATAAACAACAAATCTCTGTCGGCGGTGCGGTCCGGAAGGAAATCTCGTCGAGTCAATTTGACAGTTCTATTGTCTTTTAAAGAAAAAACAGATGACGCCCGCGCGTGCGCATAATCGGGACACTGTCCCTTTAATTATCCCTTTATGTGTTTCTTGTCCCCAGGCGTCTGTCTTTGCTCTCAAACAGCACGCGTGATTTCATGGGAAGGATGAAATCAGGCGTGAAGGATGCACTGCACCCAGTGGATTTGGCGCACTCAAACGAACCAAGATGGCTAGAACAACGTTCAGTTTATTATAATGTTATCGTTTAATATTTGTTTATTCCAGCTTGAAAACTATTTAAACTCTGGAAATCCTCCCTGGAGATATCAAGTTGAGCTGATTAAGTTCAGGTTAGCGCCTTTGTGTTATGCACTTTTTGTGAACAAACTTAACACCCAATCGTACATGTTCAGCCTACCTCACGCCACATCACCTCGCATCTTCGCGCTTTATGGCGCATGAGGCCCCGCCAACCTGCCTTTTCCCTTGCACAAGCTCTCTATTGATCCCAGTACGCCCATCCTGCCTCTGCTTTCTCCCTTTCTGTTGTCCTACGCCACGTTGTTCTTGAGCGCCCAACTTTTTGCATTCCGTCAGGGACCCAGAACAGCGCTGTAACACAGTGATACATGTCCAAGCCACTTACAGTGCTATACTTACACTTTCACATCCGCATAATGTGTTTATCTCGTCGATTGACAGTAGATACCCATAATCCTCTTCAGGTACCCATAATCAGGGTTGTCACTAAGATTTCTAGTTGCCAGGCAAATACAAAAAGTAGGCGGAGAATCAAACAGCTAGGGGTTTCTTTTCTTTCTATTTTTCTTCCATTTTCCTTTGAAAGCAGCCGGGGGCCACGTTCATAGTAGCCGGGGAAAATCCCCGGCCCCCTCCTCTTAGTGACAGCCCTGTATAATCCTCTTCAGGCACGAATCCAGTTTTTAGTTGTCTGCGAGTAGATCTTCCATATCGCATCCGTACAGTAGGACCTAGTGTTTTGTTCATCTTGATTTCACCTTTCTTACTTAATGTTTGGAACTAACTTTAAGTGCTTTTTTAAAAAATATCCAGGGACTCCTTCAGTAAAGTGGGTGCGGACATAATTGTTTACAGCCCGGCTACCATGGGAGATTTTACCTCTTACTACAATAGACTGGAAAGGCTGTTGTCCGATGAAAGTGAAATGAACAAATTGCTGAAACCTTTGAAAGTGTCACGCAAGAGCTTGGTCATAAGGAGTGCTAGTAAGATCCTTTGAGTTTCCAAGACGAAGCTTCGTTCTTTTAAAGAACACCACAATAGCCAGCGCCAATTACATTAGGACCCATAGCTTTCCCCTTCCCAAAAAAACAATGAAAGATGGACCACAACTTCGGTAGCCTGCAGAGCAGGTGTCTTTTTTTTAACGAAAGCTCAGAGGTACACTGATCGCGACCGCCCTCTTAAAACCAAAGAAAAACCGTCAACGTCTCCCTTGAAATCTCCCTTGACTCGCTGTCTCTTTCAACGTCAAAGATGGCGGGAGAACATTAGTCCCGAAAACAGTATTATTATATAAACGCCAATGAAAAACCGTGTGAAGATATCACGCATGTTTTCGCGCGAAAGCTCACCTGGTATTTCATTAGCGTTTATATAATAGAGGATATTACATGGCCGCGCGGAGATACGAAATTAACAAAAGGTATATTTCATGTGTTAATTTTACCCTTGCAGCTCACTGTCTTCCTGAGAAAACTGGAAAAATATCCATCATGGGAATCTTTGATTGGCAGTTAACTGTGATTGGTCAGAAAGGTTCACCCGTGAAATGCCCGTATGGACCAACAGCCTCCACTGCTACACGTCTCTGTAGCGGGAATTTTTCTAGCGGGGGTGTATGGAAAGACCCGGATGTAAGCAGTTGCAAGTTCAAGTCGGAGAGGACAAATAAGCTTAATGCCCTTGCCAAGGTCTGCAAAACGTTCCTTAACACACTTCTCCCCCTAAATACTGGCAAAAAAGGAGTCCCGTATAGCACTGTCACTTGAGTTGAAAAACCCCTAGATTGTTGGTTTTCACTTGACGTCACTAAAATTCAAACTACAAAACTATCGATGCTACCGAGATTTTACTTTCACGATGTATTAGAGCAGCTGAAAACTAATTTTCATACAAATTTTCGCTTCAAAGGGTTCTTGGTTTTGTGATAGAGTACGCTCGAATTTATAAGCTTTTGCGTGACGCCAAGAGAGTTGACATGTAGATTAAAAAAATAACTTATTTCAAGGAATTTTGCTATCTAAACAGCTTTGTATTAGAAAAAGTATTACTTTAATGTTTGTGAGTTCCTCGAAGAATAAATTCACGCTTTTGTAGCAAAACTCGGTAACAGATGTTTCTGCTGGTTTCCGTCCGCCATGTTGGTGCTCATCCGGATGAGCACAAGCATTGTGTCTCCGTACAAATCTCTATAAATTTGGGTAAAACATTTCTTCGGATATCTATGAATGGCGTGACACTGAAAACCAGCAATGCATGTGCAAAGTTTCAGTTCCGTTTTAGAGTTGAAAACTGTTAATAAAGGATAACAACTTGAAAGAACTTAGGCTATGGAAAAAGGATAAGGGTTATGTTGACTTATAGTTAACCAAACTCTTCTTAGGGTCGCGTCGACAAAAATAACGTTGGTAAAGTAACAAAAGAAGTGAAAGATCTGACGTCAGAGGCAGATGATATGAACGAGGCTGACGCTGTACTGATAGCTGACGTCATAGGAAATGTTGTCTTATTGGGGGATTCATTGAATGAGGTAATTGAATACAACCTATACATTTTAGATTCAAAGAGCTTTAACTGTATACTGATATTGACGCTATCGTCAACACCAAACGATAGACTACATCCTCGATAACAGTGCCTCGTCATCTCATCATATGCTTATTTGAAAAGCAAAAGGCTATTTCCCGAGTTGCAGCCTCTGTTTCAAGCGAGACTAAGTGCTAAGCCATTGATATGAAAAAGATTTTTTTTATTATTCTCATGCAAAACTCATTTTCACATCGAAGGTTTAGCACTTAGCCTCGTTATGAAAGTGAGAGATTTGGGAACTCGGAAATGGCCTGTCTGCGCGTTATAAGTGATAAAATTGTTTAATTATTAATTATTATTCATACAAAGTATTCTATATCGATGCCAAAATGTTGATACTTCTCTTGATAGGGTTTCCTTCTTTGATTGATCCGTTACAGTCCTCATTTCTCTGTCATTTTTTCATGATTGTTTTCCAGACTGCTCAAGACGTTGTGGATGTCATTGACAATGTTATGAAAATGAAGAGGGAGGATTTGAGAGAAAGTCAACGAGCAAATAAAGCTTCTTCAAAGTATGAAATTCTTCAGAGTATTTATTTCTAAATTTTTGTGCTTGCGTCAATGCCTAGATTATTTCAAAATTTTAACAGGTCATAAACTGTCCTTGTTTTGACCGTCACCGAAAAACTGAAATAATCATGTGGCCCCAGTTGTCAGTTCCTGAGTTGTTCAGTGGATAGTGCAATTGGTTTGGATAACGCTATCGAACGTTTCAACAACCCGGGCCCGGGTAGTAAATTGGAATAAAAAGAAAAAAATAGATCAAAAGGGAACGAGAAACTGCATACACTTAACAGCCAATACTATAATGGGAGAATGATAGTTAAAAGATGGAAAATAGCTTTTTACTGTATTTTATTTGAATGGTCGATGAACCTATCTGATTTGTGCACGTAACATTTTTCTTTCAGGTTTGTTGAAGCGCTGGACACAGTGGCTCAGAATCTTCCACTGTCGGCTAACAAATCGTCCAGGCGTCTAGTTGCCCCTAGTTTAGCGATCCAATCGAGCCGAGCCGACCCAGATTCCTTCTCGGGCATGTCTCTTGCTGTGAAACCGCCTGCCGCTGACCCAAACAAGTTAAGTCCGGATAGCATGGTCAACAAAGAACTTCCGATGGCGGATGTTCAAACGTCAATCAAATTACCGGAAGTTATGTTTGAGAATCAAGACCCTTCGGTGAAACGGGTTAAGATTGGCTTCGTGATCTACCAGAATGACAAGTTTTTTCAATCTGTTATCCCTGATGATGTCCAGACTGCCCCTAAGCCGTTTTCAGTTATGAGTCGAATTATTTCCAGCAGTGTCCAGGGAATGACGTTTGACAACCTAACTAAACCCGTTGAACTTGTTTTTGAACCTATAAGCAATTTTGACGAGGACGGCGGAGAAACTGTCTGTTCGTTTTGGGACTTCAATGCAATGCGTAAGAGTTCTGTTTTGTTTAACTGTATATTATCACACACGAGCTTTGTCTTAATCGCCGCGGGAATATTCAAAGCTTATTTCCCGCTGAATGCAAGTAAACAGTGGACCGAACTGTTAGAACTGAGCCTATTAACAGGCTTTCTAGTTGGGGATTAGGTGGCAGCAAAAGCACGAGCTTTAACTAGCCGTGGGCAAATTGGGGATAAGGAAAGGGGGCTCTTTCTTCTCTTTATTCCATCCCCTCCACGTCTCTTTGAACCTTCCTCGCCTTTTCTCCGTCTTCTACCCCACGGTAAAGCTACTTACTCCATAACCCCGGGCGAGCAGCTCCCATACCAGGCCTATTCCACGGCGTTTTCGAGGACCGGTTTGTCCTTGGATACATTTTAGATGTACTTATTCCCGCGTAAATGGAATCTCGCTCAGTTTATGAGCGCATTTTTGGAGTATAAGAAATGATAGAAAAACTGAACGCCATGAAAAGGTCAAAAACTACGATTTTGAGGTCTGTAGGCCTGATGACTGGTTTGTGGGACTTAAAAGATATTGTAAATTCGCGACAAAACTGTTCTAAAAATAAATTGGTAGGTGAAAACGCCGTAGCATAAGCAAGTGGAAGTTGCTCGCTCCGGGTTGTGGGCTCCTGGCTGCTTACAGGCCAAAGACTAAGGGAGCAAATGTGAACTCTTTGATAACTCCTCACAGCTTTACGAGTTAGTGTTGACGTGGTTTCGTGACCTCTTTGTAGGAAATTTGCTATTTTTTTCTATACAGTGTGCTTACAAGCGCATGGCTCGAAGACACGAATTTTGAATACTGAAGCAAACTGTGACAGATACTGGTTATCATAACGACATTGCATTCGACAAACGTCTTTCGTTTAAATCGGTCTTTACGAAATTGGCGAAGAATTTTCTTGTAGAATGTTCGGCAACTTTAGCTAATTGACTTCTGATTTAACCTATGTTTAGGGGGCCTTGGTAACTGGTCAGAAAGAGGCTGCAGACTAGTGAAGAAAGAGTCAGGCCGTGTGAAATGCTACTGTGATCATATGACCAATTTTGCTGTTTTATTTTCTGCGTCGGGCCCCACGAGTCATGCAGAGCACGCTTCCCACGCCATGGCGTTGTCAATCATTTCATACGTGGGTTGTGCCATTTCATTGGTTGGACTGGCTCTGACGTTGCTTACGTATTCGTTATTCAGGTTTGTAAACAACTTTTTCCGAGAAATAATTAACCTGAGAAAACAGCCGACATGTCGCGACGCCACCTCTGGTTTCCCCGCTAAATGACGTCAGAGGAACGAGCGCAGAAATTCCATCCTGGTGACGAGTCACGACCCAGATCTGGTTAGTACTTCTGATTGGTCGTGCTGCGAGGGAATGTTTCTTCAACCAATTAGAAGCAGAATCCAGATCTGGGTAGTAGTACGTCATCAGTATGGGATTTCTGCGCTCGCTCCTCAGTCGTCATTTCGCGGGGAAACCAGTTGTGGTGTCGCCTCTATGAGGTGTTTATGCCTATGACATGCGACGCACGTTTTAGTCAAGTTGCCTCTTGCGTTTCCGTATTACTTGTACCTGGAAGCCCAAACCGCAAACAATGAAATTTTGTGCGGCTTTTCTTGTCGCAGTAGTGTTGCCTTTCTGTCTTTGAGTGGTTGTTTTTCGCTGCTGCGCTGCTGACACTAGTTTTGTCGAAGAAAACTGTTCGATACGCGCTTGAAGCCATGAGAATTCGCCCGTTATGGGCGGAAGGTTTGTCTTCGCTTCTTGCGTAGTTGTACATAGGAGACATGGCACTGAAAAATGAAAGAGATAGTTGTTTTTCTCAGAATTCAAGGGACATCTCATTTACATAAGGACTGTGGGTTTTCTCCAGTAAGAGGTGCTGGTAGAGTTTCTCATTTTAATGAGAAATCGCTTCTTTTAATAGTGACGTACGATTTTGTATAATCTGTTCTCAATCTGTCCCTTCGCACAGCTTAATTTGATCCCGGAGCCACGAAGCTTTGAAAAAGATACGTTTTCATATGCATGTAAAAACACACTTGCTATGGTTTTAGGGCAAGCTGCAATGTTTGGATCATTCATTTATTGTTTCGTAAGCTAATTAAACAACTCGTTGTCAGAGCTTCGTGGCCCCCCTTTTGAACAAGTTTTACTTTTGGTCAAAATTTTGTCCTCTTCTCCACAGAAATTTACGCAAAACAAACCAGCAGCCAATCCTGATGAACTTGTGTGTGTCACTCATGTTACTGCTGATCGTATTTATCGTGGGAGCAGGGCAAACGGGAAATCTGATTGGCTGTCGCATAGTGGCCTGTTTATTGCATTTCTTAGTTCTGGCGTCCGTGATGTGGATGGGAGTGGAGGGCTATAATATGTATATGTGTTTTGTACAAGTGATGGCCACCTATCAATCAAAGTTCATGCTCAAAGCGTCTGCGGTAGCCTGGGGCGTACCTGCAGTCATTGTGATCATTACTGTTTCCGTGGCAACGACATACTATGGAAACGAAGATGTGTAAGTACTGTTTAACTTTACTTACAACGTTCAAGTTTGGACATGCGCCCGGACTTGCATTTAGGAAAATACTTTAACAGAGCCCAGAGACGCAGAGTTCTAGTACCAGCTGCGTACTTAGAAAAATATTCTTGCGCTCTGAGTCTCAAGTCCTTGATATCAACGATCATATATACTCCTCACTGTTTTTCTTGTTTTTATACATTTCTTATTGCACACTGTGTTTTGTCTTTGGTAATCTTTTCCTCTTTTTAAGAAGAGCAAGTTTAAGGAGAAAATAATTCCGATCACTTCTCTTGGGTTTTAAGGTGATAAGTGTGTGAATTCGTATAGGCTGTTCCAAGAGTTGAGATTGTGAGGACGGCGCGAAGAGATGTGATCAGGAAAAACAGCGAGGGGGTGGGGTAGGGATTGAGAGTGTTCCCTCCTCTCCCTCTCCCTCTCTTCCTTCTTTTTCCCCACTTTCTGCCACACTCCACTATTTATACGTTTCTGGGAAACTGCCAGCCTACTCCTCCCCTAAGCCATCATTTTGCCGTAACCGAGAAGTACCTGTTTATGTTGGCTTAGGGGAGGGGTAGGTGGGCAGTTTACAAGAAACGTACAATGATCCCGGAAGGATACGTATGATTCATGCGATGCTCTAAAATACTCTTGCTGTGGAATGGCTTGGGTAGAACTTGGGTAGTTGCTGTAGCATAATACTGCAAAGCGAGAGGGGATGGATGGTTGTTAGGTAGGGCGAGAGCTATCTTCCCTTATCGAACCAACCAACGCGGTAAGTCAGAGTAACTGGTATAAGCCGGTTATCACTGGTTTGTGGTCGGTACCTCCTCTGCGGAGGTGAACGACATGATATAGGACGGACGGACATTACTGTTTTAACAGTAGACATAAACTGTCTTTTCTGCGATCTTTCTTGTTTTACCTAAAGATACTACATTTTTAAAAAATAAATAATGCTTTTATTGACAGTTTTTTCTTTTTATTATTCATTAACAGCTGTGTGTTGCACGGACTTCCCTTTCAAGTTGCTCAGTTCGCTCCCATTCTCGCAATAGTAGTCATCAACCTCGTTATTTTTATCCTCGCCATTCGAGCACTGAACAAAAGCGGCGCATTAGTGTCAGCGGATAAGAAATCTTCTTCATATCAGCGTGCGCGTACAGCCACCGCCATTTTGCTTCTGTTGGGTCTTACCTGGCTTTTTGGCGCGCTAGCCATCTCACGCGCGCAAATCGTCTTTGAATATTTGTTCTGCATTTTCAACTCACTTCAAGGCTTCTTGATCTTCTTTTTCCATTGCTTGAGACAACAAGAAGTCCGTAGTCAGTGGAAATGGTTTTTGAGCGGTAAAGGAATTGGTTACCAGAGGACGGAGACCGAATCTCGTTCAGGTTACCCTAGAACAGTTTCCCATGGCCATAACTACAAGGTGGATACTCCGAGCTCGTCATTGGTGATGAAAGAGGGTCCGCCGAAACGAAAAGAGACAGTCTTGTCTTCCCTTGGCGACCCTTCTCGGAATTTACGAAATCAACCAGATGTTATTCCAGCTTATGTTTGATAAATTAATTCGTAAGGTTCTTATGTGGGAGATAAGGGATAACTGAAATGACTTTGGGTTAGCGCAATGTAATTAAAGGTGTAACCTTTAACTCTGAAGAGCGCCTAAGAAAAGTTCAAGAAAAAAGGCTTGTCCTTAAAATAAGTACTTAAAAGTACTGCCTAAGTTGCCTTTCTCGCGCGCAGCAGAATGTTTCGGGAACTGCCGCTGAACACACATCTTCAGTCGAAGGATGAAGCCGCGAGCAGCAAAGCTGTGAGAAAAAACCTCTTCTTTTTGCGCTGGATAAAGACTTTAGATAAGACAAGATGGGAAACTGCGCATTTAAAGTCTCTGGCACTCAGGGCCTACTGAAATGGTTAAAGCTACAGCCTTTCCAATCTTGAAAAGTCTTCAGTGTAGGCAGAGTCGACTAACCTTGCCGAAAATGTATAAAAGCATTAACAATGTTAAATTATTTATCTTAAAGCCCAAGCTCAGAGTAGGATGATCAGAAGGAATCAGTGGAATAGCGTCTTTTTGGAAAATTCATATTAAATAAATAAGCCGGTGATGATGTAACAGTAGCTAACAGTGGACCGTGTGTGCGTCTTCTTGGCTAATTTGTTTTTAAGTTATTCGAATCATTGCGTTATTAACCTATGTAGATGGTAGGTTCTTTATGCGTAAGTTTTACTAGAGGTAAACTTTTTCACTTTGTTGCAAGTTGTTTTGTTCCTCTGTGGCAATCAAATTCGGAGCAGGGAACAAATGGGAACGAGACATTATTTCTAAGGGGGCCGTTATTATATGTTTTTACGACAAATTTTGTGTGAAGAAGTATATTATACAGCTATTGACCTTGCTGAAAAATAAAACTACCTAGAGCCCATCCCCTTTGGCAATATGATAAGTTACTTCCTCTCTTCAGATATTTGTTCACACCCCCCTGCTCAGCCCTAATTTAATAACACGTTCGTTTCAAGTAAAAACCCTTGAGAGAGCTTTCACTCGTAAACTTGTGTTAATTTACCTTATTTTTCCTTGAAAATTCGCATTTGTAGAAATAATAAAATTTTACGAATTCTGGGATGTTTTTAAGCTTTTTCAAGTCAGTCAAAAGTTATAAGCGTCAATAACATACGCAATGAGCTCATAATCTTAGCCTTAGCCTTAACCATGACCATAACCCTACATACAGCGAATAAGACCAGCATTTGAAGAGAGAAATAAAATTTCAGACTACTGGGATTAGGAAATTAAAATACAAACCATTAACGTTACATAAAATGGAGTTTTCTGTAAGATGTTTCTATGTAAAATGATGAGCATAACAGAGGCTATTTACTATTTAGAACAAATATTTTCAAAGACAAATATTTTTTTTTGGTATATATTCTTGCAGATTAAAATCGCTTTCCTGCTTCAATGTTTCCTGTTGTTGTTTGTATTTGCACTTTGGCTTATGGTGGATCAAGGGAAGGGGGGAAGGGAACAGTAGCAGCTCTAAGCACCATATTTCCTCTCCCCTAGCTGGCCCCCCCGATGAGGGCTGGGAGCCTGGGAGAATAGGAGGCGGGAGATAAAAAGGGCGGAAGGCTAGGGTGGAATGTTAAAAAGGGTAGGAAGCGGGAGAAACGGAACGGGGATATTACAACCTCGTCCCAAGGACTCTTCCCATAAAAATGGCTCATATTTTTTATTTAAACAAAAGAAGCAAGGCTGATTTTACGGTCAGTCGAACCTCTCTAATACGGACACCAAAGGGACTGAGCAAAGTGTCCGTATTAGAGAGGTGTCCGTATAAAAGAGGTCACTATGATGACGTCACTTTTATGACTCCACTTGCAGTTTTAAGTGTTTAGTAGCTAAAACCAGGCTCACACTCGTCTTAAAACTGCATTTAAGTTTATTAATTCACAGTACAAAAGACACTGCCTTTCAGTAGCATACAAGATTGTACATATCACCTACATACCTACAGTCCTAGACAAATCATTGTTTTAAAACGAAACGAGCTACAGCTCAATGCTGCATGTACTGAGTAAAAAGTTGTAACGTAAAGTACAATTCTGAAAGCGTTTTTCGCTATTTTGCAAATGCAGTTAAAAAACAATGAAAATGTAATAGAAAAGATCTTTATGCCATCTGTAGTTATTCAAGCCTTAAAGAAGTCGGTTATGTTCCTCTGTACACTCACATTTACTCATGAGCAAATATGATGCAAACGCGGTGCAAATGTGTGGCAAACATGGTAAAAGCCGTATTTACTCACACATTTACAAGCCCTATGTAAAAGTGAAGTAAATACGGCATTTACCATGTTTGCCACACATTTGCACCGCGTTTGTATCATATTTGCTCATGAGTAAATGTGAGTAAATCCAATTTTTCGTGCAGTGTTGCAAATTAATTGTTTGGTATACAGCGACTTGTCATTTGAAGTCACCTTGCATAGCTCATCAGCCAGACTAGACGGGATTTACCCTGTGCAGATTCACCTTACTGGGATTCGGGATTCACCTGATCACCGTAGTGTCCGTAATAAAGAGGTTAAGTTTACATGAATTTGCTCTCTGAGGCCGAGATTTAGTGTCCGTTGTCCGTATTAGAGAGAGTCCGTATTATATAGACTGAAGTTTAGAGGTGTCCGTATTAGAGAGGTGTCCGTACCGAGAGGTTGGACTGTATATATATTTTACCAATATTTCGGAAGGCACGGTCTTCCTTCTTCAGGGTCTAGCGTACAATGATGAGGTTAAGCTAAGAGGTTACAATTTGAAATACGAATAGCGTGCAATATGATACTAAAATAACAAGTGAAAATTTAAACAAGAAAAAGTGAACGTTAAAAAAACCGTTGAAGTATTGATATGAAAGAAATTTGAAATAAAAAAATAGTACAAATAAATGATTGCAAACAGAAGAAATAAAAAATGTATTACATTTCATCTTTTTAGTCGAAAAGGGGCTTAAGAGAGGAACCCCTGAAAAGAGGGGTAGAAGAAGCAGGGAATGCAAGGTGTAGGGGAGGCGGGAGGTTTGGACTCCCGTTCCCCCTACTTCGTTTTCGTTAGGGCGCCCTTCTCACACTTTATCCGATACCGTTTTGTAAATGCTATCACGAAAATTTGACACCTCTTAATTAATTATGATAATATAAATGTGGACTCAAGTTTCCTGGCCTGCAATGTAGGAGATGCAGGCGTGTAGTTTTAGTTGCATGGGCGAAGCCTGCTCATTTAGGTCTCTCAGGGGTTTAGGTACCGAGGGCCCCCATGCATCTTTGATTTTTATCAGTAAAGAAGATTAGGGAGGCAACATTTTTAGAATTCAACATGGTGGTTGCTCTAGCCCAAACATTCTCGCACCTGAAGTAAACGCTTGCAAAAGACGTAAGCTAAAGTTTTCAGAGTTTCCCAGGCATACTGCCATGCGCCCCAAACCAAGAACAGGGATCCGAGTACAGCATGAAAACTTACTTGAATTAGCCGGGTTCCTATTTTTTCGCATATTGTTTGCGTTTGAACGAGAGTAGCCTCAAAAGCCCCGGGGGGCGGGGGTGACTCCCCTTGAAAGTGACGGGGAAGCTCGTGGTCCCTCTCTTGGGGTGTAAATTGCAGATTTCGGTCTCACTTGGGGTGTTTGGAACAGAAAGTTACCATTTTTCAGGCTTTTCCGGGTATCGCTTAGGGGCGTTAGGACTGTGCAGAAAGCATGTCGTGGTGTCTTTTTTCGTATGTTCTTAGTTTTGTATGGGTCAGCTTGAGCCACACCCACGGTTCTCCCTGAGGGGTTTCATTTTAATTTTGCGACGAGCATCCCTGTGACTTTTATATGGGAGTCCCCCACCCCCCCGGGCTGAAAGCCTCCTTCGCCTGGCTCCCTTAGAACGTCTGAAAAATAAATTAGGAGTACTATAGTACTTTCTTGTGTAGTGTAGCTCTGGAGTGCGAAAGGGTAATTTTTTAGCCGAAATTTTGGCCTTAAATAGCCCTCTGCCGTGTTGCCAGCCTTGCATTTATTTTTGTTTTTAGAGCGTCTGGGTAGCCTCCCATAGCCTGAATTTCAGACGATTACTTCGAGTCGTTTCCTCCTTTCAGCAACACAACTCGTAGTAATCGTCTGAAACTCAGGCTATTCCCCCCACTGATGCGGAAAGAAAACCGGAAGAGAAATGGAGAACAACGAAGTTCAAGCTATCAGTTCAACGGTCCAATCACAAGACAATATGTGCGTCACGTGCTAATTTCAAATCTTACCCGGGAAGATCTGGGGCGATGATCGGCGATGAAACAGAATGAACGATTTTGCAGTTGAGGGATGAATTTTATCTATCCCTGGCCGAAATCTTTTGATTTTCCTTCGTAGAATAGTCCTAATAGTAGCCCCAGTATTAGTAATCTTTAAAAGTCTCAGATGGCGACAACAAGTTGCGAAGGTGAGTTTGAACGGGTTGTTTGAAGGGTAAAGTTCAGACTGGCGATTCATGAACTTTTCTCCACGGCCGTACCCTGCTAGCAGAGTCGCTTCGATCTTTCCTAGGAAGATCGAAGGAGACTCTGTTTGCAGGGTACCACGGCCATGACTTTGGAATATTTTGGAGTTAAAGCTACAATATAAGTCGTGTAAGCTTAACCTTACGATTTTCCTACTCGACGTTATAGTCAGGTTTAGTTAATTCTGTCTCGCTGCCTCTTCAGCGTTTTCCTGTAGGATTGATGGCGCTTTCGACCTGATAGAAGATGAAAAATTCGATTTTGATGTGCCATTGTCTCCCCCAGAATGTGACATGTACATCAGGTAAGCTTTAAAATATTAACCTCAAATTTGAAGAAAGAAAGAATTAAAATATATTCATATTTAGGTGCACCAGAACTTCCTTTGGTCTGGTGACGATTACAAATACAAAATTGCAGTTAAATGAACTGAGAACTTAATTTAATGATCATCCTCAATGTAAAAACCTGTTAAACTCACGGGTGACCTAAAACGTAGAAAACAAAGAAGTGAACCCAACAGAACCTAGAAAAACAAAAGGTGCGAAACAAAGAAACGTTCACAGGTTCTTACACCGAGATAAACCCGAACTTAACCATAATATATAACTAATACATACGTTCATAATTCAGAATGTATGACAAAAAAATGTAGTAATAATATTAATAATATTGTAATTATAATTTCTAGGGAAACCAGCAATGACTTGGAAGATGAAGATGAAGTATTCTTTGGGCCTATTGGCCATAAAGAGAGATGCGTAACTGTCAACAGTGATCTACAAGATGATGAAAGTTTCAAACCAATGAGTCCACTTAATGGTGAACAGATCGCAGAACTCTTTAAAGAAGCAACTGCTGTTTCAATATTTCTTAAAAGCTCTTCAACTCATCAAAGCATTGATGATGACGAAAACAACATTTTTGACAAAGAAAATAATGGCATTTGTAACATTTTATCACAGACATTCAATGTTACAGATAATTCACCAGATCTCGTGAAAGAAAGTGACTTAAAAATAACAAAATCAGTATCTTCATCCGAGTCAGTTTTAGAGGAGGATATTACTACACAGGGAGAAAATTCTGATGTGATTATTCCTACAACCCCAAAACGTGTCCTGAAGGAAAAAAATTCTGAGGACCAAACCATCACAATGCAATTTCCATCACCTTTCATAGGAAGGAAAGCTCGTCCACGGCAAAATGCCTCCAAGTATGCAACTTCCAAACTTCCTAAGACTGACATGACGCTGAAAACACGTAGCTGTTTTAATTCTGTAAGTGCATGTTTACACCATTTGAACATCTTGTTTTTATGCATGTACCTAAGTTGCACACGTTCTATCAACCCTCTTGATACAGTTTTTACTTGACCCTTTTAAAAACGGGTACCTTTTAGTTGACTCTCTAAAAGCAGTCCCTGTAAGACCAATGCCTGGACTTGGTCCCTGCCTTTATTTTCTCCTTTAACTTGACTACATCTCTCTAGAGTTGGTCATCTCTGCCTTTCTTTACTCCTTTTAGCTGGCTCTCAATAAAAATAATGTACATCTCTCTAGGATGGAAACATAGTGCCAGGTCTAAAGGCATCTATAACAGAGAGAGTTTGCGGTAGAGTCAACTTTTACGGTTAACTTCCAAAAATCAGTGGTGGGTGGTCAGACCAGTCATTAAAATGAAAATAAAAGAGATTTTTTCAGAACTTTTCACCAAAAACCCATTATTGGCCAGCAGACTATCTTAGAATAGACTGACTTGGCTGGACAGTCCTGAAAAATAGCAGGATTCTCTTTATAACTAGACTGTACAGTCAAGCCAGGTCAAGCGTATGCCAAGGATTCCATTAATGAATCATTATCTGTTGCCACAACCAGTTTCATTCCTGCAGTTTCATTCCTGCATGTGTAATGAGCAGTCAATTTTTTTGGATGACTTCTCTGAATTTGGTCAGATTGAAAAATCTTTGAATGGACAAAATTGCTTTGAAGACATTACATCAAATTCAAGAAAGCCAAGCTGGTAGAAACTTAATATCTACGTAACGTGTGAATTCACTGCTCAATTTACGCATGCGGGAATGCAGAGATGAATCTGAAATCTACAACTACCAATGGATTCAAATTTCAAATAATATAATATTATTCATTAATGGAATCTTGGGGATACACTTCACCTGGCTAGACTATAATCAACCCTCGAAGTTAAAGTTTTTAACTATCTATTAATAAGGTGTCTGTTTGAGCAGGGTCTCTGTTACAATGTAAGAAAGAGTTGACTGAATTTTTTGAAAGGGAATGTCTAATTTTATTATGAATAGGGCTTGTATGGTTTACATGCCACTTTTCTTGCAGCCTATAAAAGTTGAACATGCTTATGGAGTCTTAAAGACATTGAAACCAGCTGAGGAAAAGGTAACAAATAAATGTTCATGTATACTGGATAGACAAAGTAACATTTTGCTAAATATTTTCTTCTTTTTACATGATTTGTTGTTGTATATTAAGGACGGGTCTCAAGAATTTTTCGAACCATAAGGTCTAAGGGAAAAGTGCAGATCTATGTAAGAATAGTAACTGTTTTTTTTTTTTTGTAATAATTTCATTTTGTCAGGTTCAACTTGTAAAACAGCTTGATAAAATCATGTTAGGAATTTTTAAAACTATTTATAAATTAAAGTAAATGTCCTTTTACTGAATCTGACAATTTGTGTCAAATGGCAGGCTAAGGACAACACAACATCCTCTGTAAAGCCACGAGGAACAAGGTGACTTGTTGTTTCTTTGTTGTTGTTGTTAGTAAAGTAAAGAGTTCATATGAATTAAAATATAATTTTTTGAAAACCAGCTGTTTTAAGCAAAATGAATCTTTGGGAGTAAGAATAATCGGCAATGAATGATAACAAGTCCTCTCCAGCCCAGTCAAAATGAGGTGGCAGCTGGCAGCATCTTTGGGGGTGGGGGGTGGTGTTGCTCTCAGCACTGCCCACCCTTACCCTACTGGGTTAACCTGAGTCGTAAATTTATTTGTAAATTATACGTGCCACAGGTTAAACTTTTTTAACCTAGTAGGTTGATTCTCATTTTTCTATGTCTCCGAGCCCTAATCCATGAATAATTAGGGCTATAAAGAGACAAAGAAAATTGATTTTAATTTTGACCTGTAACATATGTACTGAATCAGGTTAGGTCAAACTTTGCCATATCCTAAAACTAGAAAATGTACATAATGATGAAACAACAGTTTCCACAAGGCTGATCAGTTTATCACTGAAATTACTTTGCAGGAATAACAATACACAAAACTCAGGCAAAGGGGATTCATCATTTACAGAGACATCCTCCAAGGTAAGATTGATCTCTGGCCAATATTATTAATAATTTTACTGCAGCAGTATTGTTAACTATGTGTGAGACTAGTGTAAAAAGCTTGTGAAATCAAAAGGAAGACAAAGTTCAGGTCCTCTACGCACATTGTAGATCTTGGTCCTCTCACCATAAATGATTGACAAAATTTCTCAATATTGATTTACAGTAATCTTTAATAAGAACAAATAATTATTATTTATTCCTAATAATGTTTATTGTTCTTAGTTACCTGTACCTTCACAAAGTGGAATAAGACCTCCAGGGTTTGGTGTCCAGCCACGTCGTCGTCGAACCAGCTCTACATCATCATCCTCAACGTCAAGTGCTGTGGCTGATTTGAATGACACATTCACAGTCTCCAAGGGACCACCTACAGATATCTCTGCTCTTCCTAGTGTCTGTCCACGTAAGGTGCCAGCTACAAAAGCTTGTTTAAAGCCTGTCAGTGGAACCAGTAGAGTACCGAAAACTAAATTTACTAAACCTCAAGGGAGACCACAGCCTGTCAAGGCACTCCCTCAGCCAGGGACAAGTAACAAGAAAGCTCCACCAACTCCAAAGTCCCTGGGTAGTACTCCGGGGCGTTCAAAGAGCAGCCTAACCTCAAACCAGCAGCTTGATCGATCCCAGACTCCCAGTAGTGTGAAGAGGTCAAAGTCCTTCACAACACCGAATGCAGCTGGGACTAAAAGCACTATATCTACAGGGCAATCAGTCAAGGGATCACAGACGCCATCTAAAAGGAAATCGGAAATCATAGTTACACCCAGGACAAGAGGTAGCACCACAGCAACACCAAGAAATAGCCAGCCCCCAGTTCCAACACCTGTAAAAAGGCGTGGTAGTGCTGTAGAGGCTGGTGTCTCTAAGGTTCAGACAAAAGCAAAAGACCACAGGCCATCCACTCCACCAAACAGTAGTTATGTTTCAAGCAGCACAGAAACCCCACCAAATCCAGGTAAAATGGATGTCAGTATTATCCTAATTTGCTGGTCAGTTCTGTCCACATGTTTCATGGCTTACATACTTACCTGTACATCAATATTTTGTCTTTTTTTGCAGTTCCTTGTAAAGTCACTAAGAGAACATCACGAAGTGCAAATGCTCAGAAACGACGTTCTTTCCTCCCCACCCCTCTGAGGAGTGACAGAATTACCAGGTCTCAGTCACTAAGGTCTAGACCAGGCAGCAGTAACACAGATAATGCTCCACTCCCATTCAATATCTCACCATCTGCTGAGCTTGTTAAACCAAGGAGACCAGCAGTACAAGCTCCTGCCGATCACAATCTTGAGTCTCTTCGATCAAACTCCAGACTGTCAGATCCATTTTCTCCAGCTTCTCAGATGACCATTGTGGATCCAGTCAAAGACTCTACTGGTTCTATTGGTGGTGATGCAGTGGTCAGAAATTTGATTGAATGGTCGCCTGCCTTGCCGAAGGAAGTAAGGGATCAAAACTTTTCCCTTGGCCTAATTTATATGTACCTTGGGGGGTGTTTTCTTAGGCCCAGTTCTAACGTTGAACTTTTCATGTACCGAACTTAGTACCTATTTTGGTCAACCCAAAATATGGCTGATATAGACGTCAAACTTAAGTAGTCGGACTCATTTCATTTTCTCTAAATTCAATGGTCTAAAATACTCACCAGTCCAAGTAGCTAGATTACAGTAATTTACGCATGAGGTTTGGTACATTAAAAGTTCAACGTAAGAAACGAAGGTGCTTCACAGTTAAAATTCCCATGTGGGCCCTTTTGAACTTGATTCATGGTCAACCCAAATACATATAGCATATGCAAGGCTCAATTGATTCAAACTTTGATCTATTCAAGTACTTTGAGATGATTAGGTTCTGTAAGTGAAAAGTTCAGTGTTTGAACTGGGCCTTATAGTCAGACACAAACTGGCAAAACATTGAACCAAACATTGATTGTAAAAACTAGCATGGGACCAAGCTCCTTGGTGAGGAAGAAGGGGAAATATAAACTGAGTGAACTTCGTAAAAAGATCGGCAAGCTGACAGCTGAGGGGACTGTGAAGGGGGAGAGGGTGGCAGTCAAGGCTCCACTACCTCAGCTTCCCCCTTCATTCCTCCACCTGGTTTGCCTCTTTCTTTACACTCACCCCATTATTTACTCTTTTTCCACACTAAGGAACCTAGTTCCAGGCTAGTACTTCAAACAGGCAGACTGAGCAAATATCCCACATTCCCTCCCCCTAAAAACAAAAGCTCTGGGGTGAGATGGGGGGAGCACTAAAGTACATGCAATAGCAAATCTGTTTATAGGGAAGCCCCCCACCCACCTTATCAGGGTTCATACAAAAATCGCAACCATTTTTTATGGAGTTTTCAAGGAGCACCTACCAGATTGCACAAAAACACACTTTCACGGTAAATTCTAACAGGACTTTGAGGCTTGAACTGTTTGCTCCTCCAACTTAGATCTAGTTTTCAGTTCACAGTACACTTGTCTTAAATTGATATTTAATTATTTGTTAAAACAAAAGATGCTTAATGGAAATCACCTTTAACTTCTCTGAGCTATGATTTATATTCAGTTTTGGACACGCAGAAAGCAGTTAAAAACACTTTGCAGTTTGTTGTTGGTTCTCTCCTTTGCTTCGAGAGGTTTTTCTCCGGGTACTCCAGTTTTCCCCTCTCCTCAAAAACCAATATTACCAAATTCCAATTCTACCAGGAATCAGGTAGACGAAGATGACTTTGTGGATGTGCTACCTCTAAATCATTATTTATTTATTTTATTTATTACATGTACATTTAAGGTTGGAGAAAATTGAAAGGCTTTTCAAGGGCTTACACAGAAATTTTAATGACTTCTCAAGGAAAAATAGAATTCAAGGACTTTCCAAGGCTGTGTGAATGCTACCTTTTGATCTCCTTGTTATGACAGTCATATTAGGGCAAGTTCAAACTTAACGTAAAAATCTTGCAGCATGCAAAGAAAGCAGTGTCCAATAGCCCAGGGCTAGTGGATTTTGCTATCAGGCTAGTGAATTTTGTTCTTTACTTGCCCAACTGGCAAGTGAAGTTTTTTGAGGAATTCAAATTACAGAAGAATTATTATTGTGAAATCAATTGAGCTCATCAAAAAGTTTCTGGGGCTAGTTGAAATGACATTTGGGTCAGTAAATGCCAGTTTTAGCTGCAAACCCATCAATACAAGTAACCAGCTTTGCAGGGTCCTTTTGGGGTCAGAAGGACAGGATTTCACTCTACCGAAAAAAACTTCAATGGAAGACAGAATGCTGTTGTAAATTACGACATTAAATGCAGTGCAACAGCAAAGTAACGTTTTCTTTTTTTTTGGACATACTTAGCAATTGATCCTTTTGCCTTGCAGGGAACTCTGATAGACATATGATGATGATCAGAGACACTGATGCAGCATATGGATGAAAGTGAACTTACTGCTAATCATAGCAGCAAATAATAATTAAACAGTTCAAGATCTTTGTATAAAGATAAAAGCAAGTTATCAGTGAACAAGAAGTTTCTATCAATATTGTTATTTTCCAAACATACAGTATAGAGTCAATAAGACTAATATTTTGGATGTGAATTGAATTCCAGGATGAATAGAATAAGGGCCCTACTCAACTGAGTCTTGATCTCTGTCAAATTCTCCCTATGTAAAGAAAAAAGTATAGTGTACAAGGAGAATCTTGTGGTTTAGCATAAAAATTGGCTCTGTCAATACCAAACATGCCCATCTCTATGGGAAACACAGCCCTTGACAAATTCCAAGGGAGGATGAGAACACCATCCATCTTTAGAATCAATTTATTGTCAAGGATGAAAATCACTTTCCAAAATAATGTTTCCTTGGTTTAACTCACAATAATTATCATTCTTGTTCAAATGTGATTTAATAATGGTGTCAGTTTTGAAGGAACTCATTTTGGAAGAAAGTTTTCAGAAATAGAAATGGTAAATGTTTGCTAAAATATATACAAAGCTTGGCTGTAAGCACCTATAGAACTGCAAATTAGAATGAGAGAAAAGTTTATCTGGTAAGAAAATGGTTACATTAAAATAGGCTCTTGCTCTATTCAAGGGACTTGCACTCAATGGAAGAAAACAGAACATACACAGTAGCAGAGGCCAAAAAAAAAATATTAAACTTGAGAAAAAGCCTTTACATTGCTGCGATGTACTCATTGACCTTTATTAAACCAAGACATTGCTGTTAAAAAAGAATTTAAAGAATGTTAAGTTAAAATGATTTAATTATTATTATAATTACCACATAAACCTTTGAACTTCTTCTGGGCTATGCGACCAGCTAAATGGTTTCTCTAAGAACAGATATATAGTAAATGCATTTACTGCGACATACAATACGCATTCTGTCAGCAGTCTCACATATGACACAAGTGGAACATGGAGACGATAAAAGATGTATGGAATAATGAAATAGCGAAACTCCAATAGCTTTTGAGGGACAGTAACTACGGCAACACAGGTGTAAAATATTAAAACCCACAGCCTATGTTGCTTAAGAGTTAATTTCTCATGGATACAAAATCCTGCAAACATATAGGCCGGTATCATGAGATACTTCACTAGCTGGTGCCTTGCATAAACTTTCCTCCAAACATAAAATGGATAGTGGCGATTGTCGGCAAGTAGATACTCATGAATAAAGGTAAATTTATAGACAGTAAAAGTCATTATGGAAGTAGTTACTAAAAGAAGTGCTATGAATAACAGTGGTTTTCTTAGAATACTTCTTAACCTTCTAATGTAGCTTAGGATGTCCAGAGGCAAAAGAAGCAAAGGACTGCTAAATGCTAACGTAAAAAATGACAGATAAAAAACCTGAGGAAAATTCAAGCATGCCTTGTGTTGAGATTTGTCTCCAACTACTATTCCCCCATTCCAAACTACAAATCCAGCAAATACAAGAACAACAAGTCCATAAGACCAAAGGCATTTAAAAAGCTCAAAGAAGTGTTTACAAAACATTATGCAGTATGCCTTCAGTTCCACCAACAAGCCTGGGGAATCTCCTAATGCAGTTTTGTCCATGTGTTGTTGAATAGTTCTCAGTGCTGTTACTCCTGCAGTAAAAATCACCCATATTACATTGGTCTGACGTAAAAATATTGATGCACTGCCAGCTAACGCTGCTGCAAAGTGGTTTCCACGGAGGCTGAGGTAATATGTAAGGAGGACAAAGAACACAGAACCAGAATCAGTGTAGTAGAGGAATGTGAAGAAGTACAGCACAGGAAATACTCCCAGCACCAATGCAGTAACTGAACATCTTGTGATTTCACTCTCCTCTTCATTTTCACCTGCTTTTCCCTGTTGAATAAAAAATGAAATTGTTACAGTTAAACCAGAAGCAATGCCATTTAAAGGTCCTTTCCATGATACTAGGAAGCTTGAGCAACAATCGATGGCTATGAAAACATCACGTAAAAAAAAATTAATGAAGTCACACTGCTTCAAACTTTATTGCACTTATTCCATCTCGTTCAGTCTGTCAAATGTTAACAATTTTTTTTCTGGAGTTCAATTCTAAAAGCCTGTATCGAAATTCAGGGTAAGAAAAATTTAAAAGTTGTTGTCTTGTGTTCATGTTTTCCACAAAATCTGAAATTAGGCATTTTCACGTTGTAGTCGTGCACTGACAGCAAAGAAATGTACAAAAAAGCATGATGCACGACGGTGCAGAGTTGTTGTTTTGCCAATCTAAACCTATTGCTTTTTTGCCGTTCTTGTTGATGTCGTCATTGCTTAAGCTCCCTATCATACCGGTTTGGGAGGGGGGGGCAGGTATTAAATGGAACGTCATTAACAAATTATTATAAAGTGTGTGAAGGCAAGGTGCCCAAGTTGGTAACACCTCAAACTTTGGATCTGTGGGTCCATGCTCAAACTTTGTCCCACTTTGTTTGCCTTCATCCATGTGTATTAAATGGGTATCAGCAATATACTGCTGAGAGTAACCCTAAGATGGACATCCAGGAAGGGGGGATAGAAATACTCCTAGTCACTTCATGTTTTGTAACCAGGGATAAGCTCTGGCCTGGTGGTCCCCTTGGCTCACACATAGTCTTCACCTTTAAAGGTGAAGACTATGTGTGAACCAAGAGTGGCATGGGCTTTAGGATTGATGGGATAAAAGCAATTTCGTGTGGTACTTCAGGGGGCAAACAAGTGTGTGACTTAAAATTTGCCAATAAAAGTAATCTTGGTTGAGTTTGTGACACTGCTTTTAACCCATCACTCCTTATGCGCGTGCAAAGATGGTGGGTATCATGAATAAGGTCTATTATAAGGCAAAAGGTATTGCATCCTCCATAGACTTTCCCAAGGAGCATGGTTTTATAAAGCAAAGAGCTGGAGATGAGCTCCTTAGGGGAGCTGACGTATTTCTTTCCTCCCCACAAACGCCTGCTCAACTGAGGACAACATTCCTTTCCGATTGTTATAATTTCGCGTGGTAAGTGACCAATCAACAGTTTTGAAATAAAGTGTTGACAGGTTAAACAGGACTCATAAGCTCGCAATAGACGTGTAAAAACGTGACCCAGAACATGACCCTAGAGTTACCTTTTTCCTTCTTTTCTTTCCTTCACTAAGGTTATGTTGTGCACATAGAATTCTAAAATCTGACTGAGTAAATCTTACTTTTGCCGCTCTGTGTCTAACATTTATCAGAAGTCATGAAGGTTTCCCAAAGTTTCATGCAGATTGCGTAATTATCAGGTTACCCTCCTGTCAAGGTCAACTTTCCAGAATTTGGAAAGTACAGCGTGATTGGCCAAGCGTAGGAAAGGAATGTTGTCCTTGGTTGAGTAGGCATTTGTGGGGAGGGATGAAATACGAAATCCCCTAAAAACACCTGCATGGGAGGCTAGAGATGGGCAGAAAGTGAAAGTGGGAGAATGAAGGGAACCAGTGCAGAGCTGGTCAGTCAAATGCTCCTGCGATTTACCAAAGAATAGAATGACGGTCTCGGTTGTAATGCCTCTACAACCTAAAACTGTTATTTAGCTGCAATGAAGAGATCTATGTTTCAAAAGAGGTCAAAGAAAATGCTCTTGCATCAGAGGGCAAATCACACCGACCAGACACAACGACTGTAGAAAATCAATATGCATGTCACGATCTCTCAGTATGAAACAAGCAGCAAAAATCAAATTTGCCCAGTCAAAGTATAGATTCCTTCAGAAAAAATTCAATGGAACAGGAAGCATTTTGGCACGAGGTAAAAGTCGTGTGTTGCCTACTGACCCCCTTTTTACACTCATGCATGAAATTGATTACATTCCAATGTATCCACAAAACAGATAACAATCTTGCTGACAGATTTTGATCAGTAATTACAAGGTTTGTCTACAAGCTCTCCCTCCTTCTCTTGCCGATTTTTTTTTCACTTTCTTCCCAAACAGAGAGCCTGTTCACAGGCTAGAATTTATTATGCAAATCGGACAACTGCAGGAGAAGTTTTTTGAGTTAGAAATTACAGTGCTGGATAAATTATACGGGAGACTCCACATTTTGGACTGTATCTCCCAGTCTCCTAGCCTACGAAGCGCAGACGCATTTAGCGAAGCGATGACCGGAAATGCGTCTGCGCTTTGCAGGCTACCAGTCTCCAGATTAGAGTCTGATATCTACCGGATAATCGCCAAAGTTGCTATTTCTCGTAGACTTGACTTTCCAACCACAAAATTTCAAATATTTTGCGCTGTTTGAGCTACTGTTAACACGGAACATTTTATGTGCTATATATGTCGAACAGAATCAACGAGCATTTTTGGCCCAAATGAAGTCATTTATCGTGCAATATGACATCATCTATCATTCCTTCCCTATCAATTCTCAATATTTGATGATGGGGGGGGGGGGAAGGGGTTGACAGCCCTGCATTTTCTGGGACGGGTATTCTGCAATGTAGTCTACTGAATTTAAAAAAGTCTTTACCAACCTCCTTTTGCTTTTGAGCTGATTTCTTATCACAGTGCCTTAAACTATGGATACAGATGAGTAGCTGTCTCAAAATCCACACATTGCCCATTAAAAACAGGACGTTAGTCATTCGCAGCAAAAATGTTGAACACAGCAAATGCAATTCTTGACCAAGGAAATACGACAGGGCGCGTAAACACAAGAAAGAAAAAAGGTAGATTCCTGGCAAAGTAGTAATCTTGGGATCCCAGTCTTGAAACTTATAATGGCAGTACTTCTGAGCTTGAGGGACGTGAAAAATCTCATCCATGTACGGCTTGGATTGTTTGGCATTGAACTGAATAAAAATACCCACAGAAATAGCAAGCAAAGCCGAACAAAACGAAAAGAACGGGAAAGCCGCCATCTTGGATTCCAGCGTAAATGCATTATGGGATTATTTTTAGGTTTTTTTAGAGAGACCCTGGGAACAGTCAACGGAGGGTAAGGTCACTTGGTCACGTGCGCAATTAGACCCTTTTACCGATACGGCGGCCATATTGAATTAATTCGATTTGAGGAGTATTATGGGATGCCCAGGGGGGATGAGCGCATTTCGTTTGTATTTTCGAGCGCTTTTCGGGACATCTTTTCTTAAAGTTTTCTTAGAATAAGATTGTGATGGGGAAAAAGATCCTTGTGCCGTGTTTCGATGTAATAATGATCGCCTTTTTCCCGAGAAATATACAGTGAAAGACCATATTTCTAATACTAAACTAGAAAAAGGCGATCATTATTACATCCAAACACGGCAAAAGGATCGGCGTTGCTAAACCGAGGGTAAGGGTAACACCAAGGGTAAGGGTGGGGGGTGAGGGTAAGGGTAAGGGTGACTGATAAGAAGGCATATTGTCATTAATTCCCTGTCATTAAGCATCATCTGGCATATCATTGGAAAACGGTGCTCTTTAAAATGAAAGGCTGGTCCAGGGCTGGTCTAATTTCAAGGTTTGGCTAGCTTTCGCGTTTCTGTTGCAGTTAAGTATTTCCAACAACGTGACCGCAAATTAATTTTTTGCTCTTGAAAGGCTTGAATAAAGGCATGGATTAATAGTCTTCGATCGTTGTCTGTACACTAAGGCACTGTTTATATGGGGATGTGGGACCCTGGGTTGGCGAAGTGATCCGCAAAGGGGTTAAAAAGCAAACCACCTTTTCATGCAATCGTAGCCACGTCCACAATCCCTCATGTTACAAAAAATATGCCGACAATCTTTCAGATATGTTACATTTGGAGACGAGCAAACTGTACATCTAACACTTTCGCTTAAAAAAGGGAAATGTATGGTCTTCAAACCGCGCCAAGTCCAAGACGTACGAATTGTAAAATTCAAAGAAATATAGAGTATAAAGAAGACAATTTTGGGGGGGAGAAATTTTGGATGAAAATGTAAATTGGAATTCCCACAACAATTCTCACCCCCACCCTTACCCTCACCGTTATTCTTACCCTTGGTGTTACCCTTACCCTCGTTTTAGCAACGCCGCACAAGGATCTTTATTCCCATTACAATCTTATTCTAAGAAAGCTTTAAGAAAAAATGTCCCGAAAAGGGCTCGAAAACACAAACTAAATGTGCTCATGCCCCCTGGGCATCCTATATAACACTCCTTAAATCGAATTAATTCAGTATGGCCGCCGTATCGCTAAAAAGGTCTACTTATGCCGGTAATTGATACAGCCATAAAAAAAAACTCCAAAATTTACTTAGAAATATATAGACGTCTGGAGGGTGTGTCCCGCAATCCATACATCTCTAGCTATCTCTTATTAATTTTCAAGTTTTTAAATAGCTGTATCTTGTTCAATATTGGCCCAATCATCACCAGACCTGAGATTTTTCCTAGTCTCAATGGGCTCTTCCTGACTATGTGGCAGTAGGTCTCCTGTTGTTTATCCCATAATAAACCAACCCGTACCCAGCCCTCCTTGGTTTGAAACTAGGCAAGACACTAGGCAAAAGACTCTGACAACTTTGTAAAGAAAAATTGAGATTTGAAGGAAGATAGTGATTGCAAGTCCATTATAAGACGTGCCCTGTCAGTAGATATATAGGCAGGATCTGTGGTGAGTTGAACTTGAGATCAGGCCTGATCGAGCATTTTAATTTTTTGAGAGGAGAGGGAAAAAGAGAATGCCTGATACCTATATATGACACCTATATATCCCACATATAGAATTGCCCAATCCTCCCCCAACCCCCCCTTCCCTGCTCCCAGGTTAAACCCTATTCTGGAAGTCAAGTTGAATTCTGGAGTATGATAGGCCGGATCCTGAAGGTGGATTTCAGCCAGTCAAAGTGCAATTCGATTTAGCAGATATTGAAAGTGTGAATTTTCCTGCAGGTATGGAATGGAAACTTTTTCTCAACTGATTGTAGATGGAAATTTGATAAACAGTACAGTCAATATTGATGATCAACCGCAATACGTGCACGGGGACCTTATGTTAGACACTGGGTAAGCATCGTGCATTCATCTCTCAATAATTTATAATTCAGTGGTGGTTAAAAAGTTTTGTTGCTATTGACTGTATATTTTTTTTACAGGCAGGTAGTTTCCATTTGAGCTTGTGAAGAACATTTTGCACGGCATGAGCTTTGCGTAGTTAAATGTGCTTCACTTGCATATATTGGACCCGGGGGGGACACTTGGGTATATTTTGGGTGGGTATATGCCGCCCGGGACTCCAAATTGGCACCCCGTTCTAAAAAAAATTTAAAAGCTCGGTCCATTTAAAAGCGGTTACGAGAACTCGAGCGCGATAGTGACGCTTATCGAGCTCGATAACATGCTACTTGTCCCCCCGGAAAAGTGGGAGTCCTTGATTCACCGTCCTGGACGATTCGAGCTCGGTATCGATGTATCGAGGACGGTTTCCCGAGGTTGATTTGTTCATCGAGGCCGGTTGATATATCGAAAACATTTTAATGAGCAAATGGCACTTAATTCAAGATCAACCACTACTGAGAGAAATATACAATGAGCCTCCCATCATTTCATATAAAAGAGCAAAACCGCTGGGAGATATCCTCGTTAGAGCAAAACTATAAGGTAACGTATCACACTATCACGAGCTTATGCCGAGTCGTGTTTGGCCTGTCAACACCTTCCACTGGGTGTTACATCTCATTTATTGTTACAGGTCCTGTGCTGGAATCAAGAGAGAACCAAAAAGCTGGCACTGCAAGAATTGCAACCCAAGTGACAAGAAAAGAAAGATGCATTAATTTTTTCAAAATGTAGGAACGAAGGCAACTACATTTGTAACAAATGAAAGCATTTTCACTTCCTTGTATTATAAATTGAATGCATATCCTTAGAATTAACATTTAATTCACTACAGCCAGGATTGCTCAGTGTGTGGTTTTTCACAGAAAAACTGTGATTTCCTGTGTGCAGTGTATGCCTAACTGCATCGTCAGTTCCTACTCCTATCCGTCCATATACTTCAGTGGTAATTGTAAAATGTTGCCAATCATTTTTTTTTTCTATTCAGTACCATCAAGATTGTAAAACACTTTTTGGAATATGAGGAAAAAGACTGCAATTGATTGCATTGTTTACTATTTTTCCAAACTAACTATGGTGTCATGTGCTGTCTTTACAGTCTGAATATAACCAGCAAGCACTACGTTCAATATATAATGTCACTTCTATGTACTGCATAAATGTAGATTGCCGATATTGATCCGTCCAGAAAAGGCTTTTAAAAATCTATAACATTATTTGTCTATTTCAGTCGTTTACATGCCAGTTGAGACTTCCTTGCTGTATCCAATGCTATTATTTTACAATATTAACATTAATTAGCTTGAAGTCTGACAACTCGAATGTTGATCTCTTTTATGAACATTTGTCCAACTCTTTCTGTTCAAATGAAATAATTTCAAACATCACTCTTACTGACCCTTACCGACAATTTCTAAAGTAACCAGGGCATGTATATAATAATAATTAGAAATTTAAACAACAAAGTAAAATAATGAATAGTAATGAATACCAACAACCTGTACAAATATTGATTCATTCATTAAAAAATCTGTTGGGTTCTATCAATTTGTTTCATAATCCAGTTTTCATAAGTAATAAGCAGATCGTGAGGTTAATGTCAACCAAGCATTTTAGCAGATGTAACAAATCGATGATGAATGACATCAATGAATAATCGATGAGTAATCATCGGGTAAAAAACTGATTAATCATTAACTATTAGCTGTTATCAATAGGTAATCGATGACTAATTGATGGCCAAGAATTTTGTGGCCTATCGATTACTCATTCATGTCATCGATGAGTGATTGATGCATTCGATTACTCATCGATTATCTAATGGTTATCCATTGATTAGTCATTGATTGCACATCTCATACAATTTCCACCAATTGATTTTTTTAACTTATTTCCAGGGATAAAAATTTGCTAATACTTATAATAATTATCCTACACATAAAGGTAATGATTTATTTTATCGTCATATAAATTTAATATAATACCGAAGGCCCATCAACGGAATACATCACAAAATCATAACTGCCTATGGAGTGGGGTCGGGAAAGAAAGCTGACAAATTGCGTATGTATATACCATGCTGTGCGTTTGCTATCGGTGTAAATTCTATATGGCTAACCAGTTCTGATGGCTAACATTTGCTTAGCGCGCGGTATCTATCCTAGCCGCTGTCATTGTGGCTAGCTACGCCCTTCCCGCCACAAGGAAGGCTGCGGTTGCCATCTTCCAACGTGGGCAGTCCGTTCCATGGTCTATCTTTACATTAATCCAGATTAATATCCACGTTATAAGACTTCCGGTACTATTCAACCTTTATTTAAAAATTTATAGTCCTGCAACGGGGTTACCATCACGCAAGACGCCTAAATAAAATGAATAAAATTCTATAAAAGATAAAATGGATAAAAATAATAATAATAATAATAATAATAATAATAATAATAATTAAAAATAGTAAAATCTTTATTACAAAACCTCAATTAAAATCCTATTTACATTCAACCTCCTGTTACAAAAAATCTAATTAATTCATCAAAACACTATCTACAATTCCATCCGTTACAAAAGAAACCCCTCAGCCTTCATTAGAGAACAAAAACAATCCTATATATAAAGGGTGAAGAAAGAAACTATTCATTTACAAATTCTAAAAAATAGAAGTAACTTAACCTTACATAAAAGAAGAGGAAATAGATATAATTAAATAAAAATTAAAATAATTAATTTCACAGCAGCAATCATTATGCAATATTAAAATTCATCATTGACTAAAATACTCAAATAAGACTTTTTTGAAACGATCTGCGGACTTGATGTTAACAATTTCGCTTGGCAACGCATTCCAGTCCTTGACAG